ACATAATTAAATATTAAAAATAAAACAATCAAAAAATAGGATAAAAAGAGAAAGAAAGAAAGAAAGAGAAAAAAAAATCGCGCATATATATACGTACAGAAAAAAAAGTAAAAAAAAAAAAAAAAGGAAAAAAAAGATCTTTGGAATTTTTTTTCTCTTCTTACACGACACGACATGTTAACATATACGATAGAAAACTGGAGTTCGTTCAGGTAGATCTCTCGACATTCATCTGATAAAACAATAGCTTTGGATCCACACCATTTTTTTTTTCCTTTCTCTCCCCCCCCGCCTTCTTTTTTTTGCCTGTTCCTCTTTCCATCCACTGAATTTTCTCTCTCTCTCTTTCTATTCTCGTCGTTGAGAAGAATCATCTGAAAAAGGCAGCACCCGAATGCATTGTCTAATTGTATGGAAAATGCATCGTAGATTCGTCGCGTCGTGAATTCCACGGCTAGACTGCTAATGGTGTTACATGATCTCTCTCTCTCTCTCTCTTTTTACAACAGCGTTACGTTGTGGTTACGTTAGAAAAAAAGAGAGAAAGAGAGAGGGAAAGAAATAAAAAAAAAGTAAAATAAAAATGAATATTAATTGGTGCTAAGACAGATGGTCTTGTAATTTGTAAATTACAGATTTATGAAATATTTGATATTTAATATTCATACATACATACATATATATATATATATATGTTACTTGAATTTTGTAAATATCTTATATTCCATACTAATTAAAATTAACAATATAATTACATATACGAACTTATTTATATAATTAAGGATATAATTAATTGAATTCTTTTTTTTATCATATTTATATTTCAATAAATTGGAATCATATTTTTATCATTAATATATATATATATTTTTTTTTTTTCCTGTTTATTTTTTTCTTATCGAAGAAAATATGTGTGTCATGTTTATTCGTCGAGAAAAGAGAAGAACGTCTTATCAGAGAAATGTACTCTTGCTTGCTTGCTTGCTTGCTTGCTTACTTGCATCGGATGCTATGACGATAACAAGGCCAACGTGACGATGCAAATTCTCTTTATGCCCGTTGCACGCAGAGCACGTAGAAAATAAAGTCGAGATCGAGCTCGATGATGACTATGGAACTCATTATCTTGAGCTCGTTTATTCGTAGTTGAGATTTCTCAGGATCTGTCGCGAGTAAAAAATGAAATATCGTGTCTATCGTTAATTGAAGTTAATGTTTATGAATTATTTTCAATCATTCTCATCGTTTTTTAATTTCACGTTTACTTATTATACATTTTTCATAGATTATTACAATTATATGACAATCGTACACACACGTCTGAAAATTTGTTCTCTCTTTAATCTATTTATTTAATTGAATTTAATTGAATTTAATTTAATTATAATCCAAAATGTTTATATCGTGGAAAATATTCGACAAATATTTCTAGAAATAATTTCATATTGCGATAGGGGTAAACACTAAATTTGTACTATTTGAAATAATTCTAATTCGTTTCTTTTTTTATTTCCTACATTGAATACTTTTTTTTTTCTTGCTCCAAATAAAACACTTTTTCTAATTTATAAAATTCATATAAATCTAACACAAAAGTGAAGAAAAATAAAATAAAAATTAATCAAACGTAACATAAGAGAAAAAACTAAATTTTCAATTACGAATTAACAATGAAATAAAGGTGTAACAAATGTGAAGGAAAGGATTGAACAATTTTTTTGCAGAATGAAAAATCAATGTTCTGTTTGCTTTTTATTTTCGTTTTCGTTTAACATGTTATAGATATTAAATATAAAAACTTTTGTTTTCAATGAATATTTTTCAGATTTCTACGTTAGTGTCGCACAGAGAACGGCCGCTATGTTCGGACCGGAGTCTTCGTGCCGTTGCAAGGGTAGGACAGGCGGTAAATTTGGCGGTCGAAAGGTTCGTCACCGTTGGCGAAACCATAGCCGACGACAATCCCGAGATCAAACAAGACATGTACGAGGCATGCAAAGAGGCCAGAGTCGCTGGTAAGTTTAATCAAAATTTAACTAACAAACAAACAAACAAATAAGTAAAGTATCGGAGAGAAAAAAAAAACAAAAAGAAAAAAAGATCAATCGTAAAAATATAATATTAATCGATAAATTCTTATCAAACAATCTTTTTATTAAATTAATGAATTTGTCACATACAAAAACGTACTTTAATTTTCGCAAAAATGTAGACAAATTTTTTCTAAATCGTACTCTACATTAATTCAATCGAAATTAAAATAGAAATAATCTATAATTGTTATAATCCTATTTATAAATATATTGAATATTAATCGTACGATAAGATAGAGTTGAATTTTTCACTTTTTCACAATTTACCGAACAATACGATCGTAAATTTTCCAAACCTTTTCAAATACGTTCTGATATAAAATGACAACACAATGTACGAATCGTAGAAAAATAGGAATGGATGAAACGAATACCTTCGTTGTTCGATATTTTATTTTTCTTTTTTTTTTTTCTACGAAAATATAGAGTCTACATAACACATGAGAAAATAAAGGTATCGAAGTAAGATGGTTTGACAACGAGAGATGGTTGTTGAATCGATGGTAAAAGAAAAAGAATAAAAAGAAAAAGAAAAATAAAAAGAACGACAGTAAAAGAGTTAGTGATTGAAGGTAGTTCGGTAAATATATATATATATATAGAGAAGAGTTTAAAAAAAAACGCTCTAGGCGATGCAAAAGCTCGTTTGTCATTGGATTTTTCTAGACATATCAAGTTGAAAAAGCATTTTGTGGAGAAGCATTGATATCCTTTCATATTGTGTATCTCTCTTTCTCTTTCTCTTTCTCTTTTTCTCTGTCTCTCCGGTTTTGTTCTTTTACTTTTCTATTTCTTTATTGACACCACACATCATCATAGAAGAAATCGAAAAAGAAACCAAAAAAATCGGTCAAACTAGATGAAACTAGTCTGTCACTCTTTGTGCTTTTAAAAAGTTTACTTAAAGAACGCATTGGAAACTTCGTGCTAAAGTCCTTCGGGGAAAAGTTGAAGGGCAGAGCCAATAAGCAAGCTTTCGATAGGTTCGAGAGAATATTCCTAAAGTGCATCCTTAACGTTTTTTTCACCTGAAGGTTCCTACTTAGAAGATAAAGAACAAGAAGAACAAGAACAAGAACAACAAAAACAAAAATTCAAAGAGTTTAATTAGATTTTGTATAATGATAAGAGTAACAATTAAACGTTTTAAGTTAGACATCTGTGACATAATTAAAATCCCCTTTTAAGTAGAAGAGACAAATAATAAACAGTTCGAAATTGTTTTTTCTTTCTTTTTTTTTCCTTAATTATGCAATCTTGTTAAACCCTGACATGGATAAATATCCTACGTGTAAAAATAAAAAATAAATAATGTAATACGTAAATGTACGTGTAATGTACGTGTAATAATGCGAAGAAAATTTAGAACAAATGAACGAAAAATCAAAGATTTACATTGACTCGTTATTAACACTTTGTGTATACCTAATTCCTATCGTGAGTGATCAAAAAACATATATTTTTATAAAGAATAAGATTTTAGCTAATTGGATAACGAACAAACAACATTCTTTTATTTATCAATTAATAATGTACATTTTATTTAATGTGTTTTCATCGAATTTTTTTTTTACAAATACAAATTACAGAACGCAAATTACATTTGACCGTACGTGTGATAGGTTTAGTGTTATAATATTCTTAATTATTTTTTTATTATTTTTCATTTTATTTCGTCGTTGAAATATTTTCAACATCTTCCAAAAAATGTACATACGAAATTTTTCTTATAACTTTAATTTAAATGGCAAATGAGATTATTACTATTTTCCAAACTATGATCAACTCTCTCTCTCTCTCCTCTCTTTCTCTCCATTTCTATTTCTCTCCTCGCGAAATCCGAATTTAGGTTGAGTAATCTAATTTACAATGGGCCGTTTATCTCCCTTTGAAATCGAAGGAAAATTCAACGAGCTTGGGTGGTTGGTAGTTTGCTTACAATCCGTAGAGAAAGATACATCTCTTGTCTCTCTTTCATTTCCCCTACCCCCATCCTCCTCCCACCCTCCCATCCACCCATTCACCCCTTTTTCTTCTCTCTATCTCACGTTTTTTCTCGATAAGTAGAGAAGCAAGCCCACTCCATCTCTCGAAAGGTGTATCCTCGAATCTCTGCACATTGCCACGTTTAAGGATTTCGATTTCTCTTCTTCAATGTGAAAACAAGAAGGCAGCCCTATCCCTTCCCTTTCCCTTTCCCAGAGGAGGGCAGATAAAAAAGAAAAAGAAAGCAAAAAAAAAACGAACGTGAATTTTCATCGAGATTAATGTCATCCTTTCTTTCTTTCCTTTTAATACATAAGTTAGTAAGTAAGTAAGTAAGTATATAAGTAGATATACTTAATAATTCTCCTTCTACATTTTTTCTTCTCCTTCTTCTTTCCATCTCTTTTTTATCTTTCCCCATGGAGCCTTCTTTTTAATAGCAAACGATCAAGTTTAAGTTAACCTTTACTGCATTTTATCGAGCCTCGTGTATTTGACGGAATACTGAGCAGCAAAAAAAAAATATATTTATATATATATATATGAAAAGGAGAAAAGTAGAAAGGAAAATAAGAAAAGAGGTCTGTGGTTCTTCTTATACTTCTTCTTCTTCTTCTTATTCTTCTTCTTCTTCATTTAGTGGACGGTTCATGTGGAAGGTAAGTTGAACGTGATCTCAGACGAGAGGATAAAAGTAAGAAAGAGAAGCAAGCTCATAGATAACGTTTCTTACCTACTTGCGATATATACTTTTGGCAAACGATCGCATTTTTCCTCCTTGCCTTCTTCATCTTCTCTCTTTTTTTTTCTATCTATCTCTCTCTCTCTCTCTCTCTCTCTCTCTCTCTCTCTCTCACTCATACTCTTTCTTATATTTCTTTCATTTCTTTCTTTCGCTCCTTACAAATGGCACCGTTTCAAACGTTTTAAACGTTAGGGGTTAAGTGCTGCGGTATAAACTCGAAAAAAAAAAAAAAAAAAAAAAAAAAACGAACTAAATAACGGATGAATTAATTGCATCTCGGATTAAAATAAGCGTCAATGAATTATTGAACAAAAAAAAAAAGAAAGAAAGAAAAAATGGGGGTGGGATA